TTTCTGTTCCTTGCATCTTCTCCCAACTTCTCAGCTTGTAAGTTAAGATACAGAATGGCCTATTTAAATCTACACTTTCTCACACTCTCCTGTTGGTTGCTTTTCTTGCCGTATTTCTGACTTTTGGCCCATTGAACGCTTTCATATCCAGAGGGATAAAGCCAGGAGGAACGTGTACAGAGTATATACATTACATATTATTTCTGTTCCTTGCATCTTCTCCCAACTTCTCAGCTTGTAAGTTAAGATACAGAATGGCCTATTTAAATCTACACTTTCTCACACTCTCCTGTTGGTTGCTTTTCTTGCCGTATTTCTGACTTTTGGCCCATTGAACGCTTTCATATCCAGAGGGATAAAGCCAGGAGGAACGTGTACAGAGTATATACATTACATATTAGTAGAGAAGTCCGCGTGTAAGGCCTAGTTTGTACTATAAAGTTAGGTTAACATAAGTTGCCTTGCAGTCACTTGTACATACACGTGTCGGATTTGTCTCCTGGAGATGTAAGTGCGTGTTACGACGCAGTAAAAAAGCGCTTCCCCAAATGGCATGGAACCATAGTCAACCTACTCGCAGTGCAAATGTAGACAAATGGGTTTTCTGAGTCAGCAAACCTAACAGTCCTCTAGAAGGTGTTCCAAAATGCCCCATTACCTGCAACAGCGACTGCTTTGATCAGTTTTAAACTCTGCTGTCCAAGGGTCACCGACCAGAAGCCATCACTATCTGACCCCCCTTAAAGCTTCCTGCATATTTTTGAAATACCTTTTTCCTGATTTCTATCTTGGTGAGCAAACCAAGTGGCTTACCTATGTTGAATGCCACAGACGTCCAACCAACCATGCTGGCTCCATGCACACCCAGAGGTACTAGATGCTCTCCTGCCTGGACTATGCCAGAAGCACTGGGCCTGTTGGAAGACAAGGCTGGGGCACAACTATGAACCATCTATAGACATACTGAGCAGAAATGAATACAACAGGGATCAGCAGCAGGCATGTTGGTTGGGAATACCACAGAGCCAGGGAACGCAATAGAGCTGGTGCTGCACTGCAGTCCTGCCACTTCTGCAATGAACTGCACGTCATACTTGGCAGAGACTCCACAGGCATCTCACCGAACACTGTGAGACCTCATGAAAGCCCTGAAGACTGAGGAAGAGGGGGTGAAGGGAGACATGGTAGGGATCTCCAGCCATGCGGCAAATCAGGACCTGTGGGAAATTCGGCCGCAGTGTAGCCAGTCCTGCCAAGCGATCACGGGTGAGCCTAAGGAAGGAGAAGGAGACTCAGGTAAGTGTGTGCATGCCTTTTTCCCTGCAATGCTGGCATTTAAACGTGGCACCCAGCCCATGCCCAAGTGGCTAAGATAACTAGTACCTACTTTGCATTGTTTTGCTCACATGAGAAGAGGTAATGGTACAATAAAGAAAGGAAGAGTTGTTCATGCCCCTTTTGGGCCAGGCAGCAGGGTGAGGGTGTTCCTGCAGAGCTCTTTGTTTGGGTATACAATAGGGATGTAATAGTGTAGTCAATTAACCAATAAGCAAAAGCTTATAGGTTAATGTTATAAAATACCTTCATTTCCTCTCTCCCCCAACCAGTAAATTTTTTAGCAGTCTGGCCAGCAGCCTGACTCAGTCCTGGCTTGTGATGGGTCCAGGACCTAGCCCTGCTGTGGCTCTGCATTTAAAGTGTTTTAGGAACCAGTTGGGCGGGCAGCTCATGCTGAGTCCGGGAGCTCAGACCTCCCCTGGACAGGGGCTGTTACTTCTGTATTAGAGGCAGCAGCAGGGACAACAGGCTGCTGGTCCACGAGGGGAACTCGTTTTATAAACTGGCTCCCCTCATGGACCAGCTCCCACCTGGCACCCAATGCTGCTGCCTCTGATACAGAAGCAGCAGCACAGAGTGGCAGGGGGCCAGAGCACACTGGCTGCTAGCCCCACCCCTGGGCACTATAGACTAGTCGAGTAACTGATAAGAATTCATGAAGTTAATCGACTATTTAATTAAACAATATATAACAACCCTAGTATATAGGCATGTCCCTTGTAGCCTCCTGAGAGGTGTCGATTGAATTTGCAGGGAGTCTCTAGGCATGACAGCCTTATTTTTTCCTCCATGATAGGCCACTTTCCCTGCTCTCTCCATACAGACCCAGGCAGCTTTG